ACCCGCGTCCCCTGCATCGGCAGGCGGACTCTCAAGCACTGCGCCACCAGGGAAGCCCTCATTAAAATCTTTTACTAAAGCCTTCTTACATTGTCTTGATGCTTCATTAGTTTAGAAATTTGTTCTCCTTTAATTTCCATTTTCTTGACTAAATGTTCTAGTTCACATTCTATGTTTTCACAGACTGATTGGCTTTCAGTTTCTTTCCTTTGATTCAGCAGGTCTTGGTACTCCCTATGAAAGAAAAGCAAATATCAAGCACTATTACAGTTTATAGTATATGTCTTTGTCACAATTAGACAATATTCTGTTCAATCATAAATTTTAATCAGAGTTAAATATTAACCTTCAAAGACAGTCTCTTTCTGTAGGGTTATCAAATTAAATCTATGGTAATTATAAACAGGCTCTTATGATTTGAGATTAGATATACTTAGAAATATCTTAGACTTAGGATCTTAAAGAATCTTAAAAGAAAGGTCTGAATTCTTGATGTTTACAGTTAAATGTAGTAAAACATTCTGATGTCCTTAGCTAGAGGCATTAAGGGACTCTTTTTCATTCCAAGTTTGGAATTCTTAATGTAGAATCTGTGGAAGAATTCCAGCTATAGAAGTATTTGCCTGAGAAATCCCTAGATTTGGTGATAGCCTACTCAAAGAAACACTGCCAATAGAACTAGTTATATCTTCTACAGAGGTCTTAGTTCAACTAGCTGGCCGCCCAAATCACATATTTCCTGGAATTTTTGTTGAATATATATTTAAACTTGAAGCTTAAAATATATATCCCATACAGAATATTGTTTACTATGGATGCTTCAAACTTGTAATGCAGACCAGCCAGAATCTAAAACAAGAAATTGCTTTCCTATTTGTCTAATGAAATCATTCATTTAACTAAAAAGATTATAAAAAACAAAAGGAGAATCTTTCTTATAAAAGTATTTGTGAGTTACAATTTAAGGTCACCAGACCCCGTTTGTTAGAATGACAGAAATATGTGTCTATAAGTTCAGATCTTGGGAATACAGAAACACTTTAAATTGGAAAAAGTAGTAATTACACATAGATAATTAAAATGCAATTTAAATACAACAAATATAATGAAAAATCAATGACAACAAATCTGCAGATCAAAATAAATCCAAATGGCTAAGTAAGACTTTTAAGAATTTATAAGTGGCATTGTTTGAAAGACTGAGAAGAAAAAAAGATACCTAAATATCTTGCTACTTCTTCTGATAAATACTTACATAGTCATTTGGTCCAGCTCATCTTGCATTGCCATCAAAAGTTCAGACAAATTGTTACAAATGGAAATGGACTTTTCTGAGTCAGAAGGTACAGCTTCACATTGAGAAGTTGTTTTAGAAGGCTTGTAGAGACATCTAGGTTCAGAAACTTCAGCCAGTTTCTGAAGGATATGTGGCCTGTAATGTTGCATTGTCTGCAAGTTTTGGGTACTTGCATTCCTGGAATGGCCTGCACTGGCAGACTTCGGGGGAAAAGAAATAGCTGAGAACGATTTTAAATAACTGATGGCATTTAAATAGCACTTACAACAAACCCTGAATTTATCTGACCAAGTATCCTCATTTTTCCCCCTCTCACCTTCTCAGCCACAATAGGCAGTGATCCAAACTTTGAATAAATTTGCTGAGGTGGTCGTCTCTTTAAACATTTAGTTTTCTAAATATTGACAAGGGAAAAAGTAAACAAAAAAATATTTAAAATGGTATTTATCAAATGCAACATTATTAGCCATTAGGGAAATGCAAGTTACAGTGAAACATCACTATACACCTATTAGAACAGCCAAAAAAAAAAAAAAAGTGACACCACCAAATGCTGGCAAGGATGTGGAGAAACCAGATCACTCATATGCACAAAATAATGTAGCCACTTTGGAAGACAGTTTGGAAGTTTCTTATAAAACTAAACATGTAGTTATCATATGATTCAGCAATTGCATTTTTAGACATTTATCCCAGAAAAATGAAAACTTATGTTCACACAAAAACCCGTATACAAATGTTTATAACTGCTTTATTTGTGATAGCTTAAAACTGAAAATAATCCAAATATCCTTCAATAGGTAAATGGTTAAACTGTGGCACATTGATAACATGGAATACTACACAGAAACTTTAAAAAATGTATTAATACTTGGGTGGATTGCAAGGGAATTGGCTGAGCAAAAAAAGCCTCTCAAAAGGTTACATACTGGGCTTCCGTGGTGGTGCAGTGGTTAAGAATCCACCTGCCAATGCAGGGGACATGGGTTCGAGCCCTGGTCACGGAAGATCCCATATGCCGTGGAGCAACTAAGCCTGTGCGCCACAACTACTGAAGCCCATGTGCCTACAGCCCATGTTCCTCCACAAGAGAAGCCACAGCAATAAGCCCGTGCACCACAATGAAGTGTAGTCCCCACTAGCCGCAACTAGAGAAAAGCCCACGTGCAGCAATGAAGACCCAACGCAGTCAAAAATAAATAAAATTTAAAAAAAAGGTTACATACTGTATGATTACATTTATATAGCATTCATGAAATAAAATTATAGAGATGGTAAACAGATTAGAAATTGCTAAGGGTTAGGGAGCAGGATGATGTGTAACTATAAAGGGATGGAATGAAGAAACCTTATAGAGGTGGAATAGTGCTGTATCTTCATTGTGGTGATGGTTACACGAATATACACATGTGATAAAACTATATAAAACTACATATACTCACACACACACATACACATACACACACAACTAAGTGGATAAAAAACTGTTGAACTCTCCATAAGTTCTGTGTATTGTACCAATTTCAATTTCCTGGACTTTATACTATATTTATGAAAGATGTTACCATTGGGGAAAACTGGTTGAAGATACATGGGACCTCCCTTTATATTTTTTTGTTATCTCCTGTGAATATATAATTTTTCAAAATAAAAAGTGAAAAACAAAAATAGACATTTATGGTTAGGATATGGAAAAATGGTAACTGCTGACTGGAACATAAACTGGTCCAATCACTTTGGACATTATCTCGTAAAGCTAAGGTGCATAACACTTATGGCCCAGCATCTTAGAGAAACTCCTGAACACATACACTAAGAGGTATGTACAAGAAAGTTCTTAACAGTGTTTTTTATAATAAGAAAAAGTGAGAAACAAACCAAATGATCACTGAAAGGAGAAAGGAAAAAAATATTTTTAGCAATAAAAAGCAGCGAACCATAGGTATATGCATCAATTGGAAGAATCTCATAAACTTAATGCTGAGTGGAAAAAGAAAGCTGCTGAAGAACACGAACAGAATAAGTCCATTTACATAAAGTTCAAAGCATAAACCTAAAAAATGTATTTCTTAGGAATACTTATTTGGCAAAGTAATTTTTTTTTAAAAAAAGCCAGAGAATGATAAAAGCAAAGTCAGAATTGTGGTTAATCCTTGGACGGAGGGAATACAATTTAGGAGAGATATATGCTGGGGCTTAACAGTGCTGGTAATGTTCTATTTCTTAAGCTGGGTGGTCAGTATACCAAGTGCTAATTTCATTATTATCCTTCGAGCAGACATTTGTTTAATATATACTCCTTCATGAAACATTTTTAAAAAGACACTGCTGAACTACATTCTTTTTTTTTTTTTGCGGTACGCAGGCCTCTCACTGCTGTGGCCTCTCCTGTTGCGAAGCGCAGGCTCCGCAGCCATGGCTCACTGGCCCAGCTGCTCCGCGGCATGTGGGATCTTCCTGGACCGGGGCGCGAACCCATGTCTCCTGCATCGGCAGGCGGACTCTCAACTGCTGCACCACCAGGGAAGCCCTGCTG